GAAAATTTACATTCAGTATATGGTAGAGAATTTCATAGATTATTAACAGTTAGACTATATATATATATATATATATATATATATATATATATATATATATATATATATATATATATATATATATATATATATATATATATATATATACATGTATGATAACTATCATTTGAATATTTAATATCGCATATATAGACAGGAAGTAGCAAGCAAGTAAAACTAGGCAACTATTAATAAATAATGAAAATTTCTCCAATAATTGCACAGGAAATTGCATATCATATATGCAATAAATATTAAATATAAGGTAATTATTAAAAAATAATAGAAATAATAATTACAAATTATATATATATATATATATACTTTTTTTTGAAGAAATTTAGTATCTTACTCAAAATAACAAAAAATTACTGCTGAAAAGAAAATGTTACAACAACCTTAAGAATGATTTATTAGAGACGACAGTGTGCTATGATGAAATAAAAAGTATCGTTATATAAAATTAATCAACGGATTGTGTACCGTAAATATCTCGCGTAGCAGAAGGTTATTAATGGTCCAACCACATCTGAAGTTTACTACTTAATGTATGTTGTATCCCATAAAAAACATGAAATAAAAGGGAAAAAAAAAGAATATAAAAAAAAATTTCAAACGCAATGGAACTGAATTAACGATTTATAAACTTATTTAAAAAAAAAACTTACAAACAGAAATTTATTCTATTTTTAAATCAAAGATAAATAATTTTTTAATTTTCTAATTGTTTGATAAAAAAATTCCCAGTATTTTATAATTAATTTTACTTATAATTTTAAATAATATTTTATTGAAATATTAATGAAAAACTTAATATAATACATTATGAATGTTTCTTGGAATATTTTATGAATTTGATTTGGAATAATTAAGGAATGTTTCTTCGAATATATTGGGAATACTATTTAGAATACTTTAGGAATGTATTTTGAAATATTTTGAGATTATTATTTGGAATCATTTAGAAATGTTCCTTGGAATATTTTGGAAATACTGTTTGGAATAAATAAGGAATGTTTCTTGGAATATGTTAGGAATACTTTAAAAATGTTTTTTATAATACGTTGAGAATACTGTTTGGAATACGTTAGGAATATATTGGGAATACTATTTGGAATACTGTAGGAATATTTTTTGGAATATTTTGGGAATAATATTTGGAATACTTTAGGAATATTTTTTAGGATATTTGGGGAATACTATTTGGAATACTTTAGGAATATTTTGGGAATACTATTTGGAATACTTTAAGAATATTTTGGGATATTTTGGGAATACTATTTGGAATACTTTAGGAATAATTCTTGGAATATATTAGGAATAATATTTGGAATAGTTGAATAAATGTTTCTTGGAATCTGATAGGAATACTTCAGAAATGTTTTTTAGAATATGTTGGGAATATTATTTGGAATAATTTATGAATGTTTCTTGGAATATGTTCAAAATACTGTTTGGAATACTTTAGGAATGTTTTTGGAAGATTTTGGGAATACTTAAAAAATGTTTTTTAAATATTTTAGGAATCTGATTTGTAATATTTTAGGAATATCATATGGAATAATTTAGGAAATTTTTCTACAAATATTCTTGTGAAATATTTGAATATTTTTGCGATAATCATAGAGAAAAATAAAAAATTTGTTTCCGCTTTATTATTATTATTTTTTTTTTTTGAATATTGAAAATAATGAAATATATTACGATTCTCTTTCAGTGTTGGCAATGCAATGTTTTGAAAGAAACGCGACTTTAAACTCGAGAAAAGTGGGTTATAAGGCGAAAAAAGCGGGAGAAGAAGCACTTGAATGCAACTGCGGTAAATGTCTGTAGTAGAAATTTTCCTCCTGCAACCATCAAATTTCCACCTCACAACCGGATGTTACGCCTCAATGGGTGGCCTTTATAGGTGTTTTACCACGAAGAACTCAACTTTCTCATCTGACCCGACAAGCGCTCATAATCTCCTTTTTATCCCCATTCCACATTTGGTTCCGGGTGAGCCGCTTTTATTCTCATCCCAGTGTCAAGCTTTCGCTTGCACGCGCGCCCCTTTAATTTGCACCAACGAGAGGAATGAGAGAGCGATGCTTCCATTTCGTTTTCTCTTTTCTTCTCTTTCCGTTCCTCGAACCAACCCCCTTTACCTTCTTCACCCTTCCTCCCCTCCCCCCTCAAACCACCGACCCACCATCATTTTGTCCCAAGGGTTACATTACGTTCTACTGAAGAAGAGAAAGAGAGAGAGAGAGAGAGAAAAAGAGAGATAAAAAAAAAGAAGAAAAAAAATACGTCTCACCATCTGGAATCAGTTTCATTCTCGCCCCCTTCGTGTTTTCACTGCGAAGTGCATAATTCACGGCACCCGGATCTGTCAGCGATGCGCAATTTTTATTTTCATTTTTTTTACATTACTATATATATATATAAAGTTCGTGAAATAATTTTTCAAAAAAAAAAACAACTTTTAAAAAAGTGTTATAAATCAACAAATTATGTAAATGTCTCGGTGTATTTTTCTGGTCAGCATGTGGAATATTCAATGTGGCGAAAAAGAGAGAAAAATTCCAACAGAACATGTTTTATACAAGAACAAAAAAAAATTCAAAAATATTGTTTAAAAATTTACTATAAAAAAAAGAAAGTTTGGAAAAATTTTTTTTTTTTTGCATTATTGCAAAATATTCTGGAATATCGTGGAATATTACAAATATTTAATAATATCATGGAATATCAAAAATATTTGCCATAACAGTAGAAATATTCCAAAAGATAATGTAATATTGAGAATATTCATAAATATCTTGGAATATTTCAAAATATTTTGGAACAACATACAATACACTAAAATATTCTAAACTATCTTGTAATATATAAAATTATCACAAAATATATTAAGATATTCCAAAATATGTGGGAATATTAAATAATATTACATAATATCTTGGAATATCTTAGAATATTTTTGAATTTTCCAAAGTATTTTTTAATACCTTGGAATATATAAAAGTATTTCAAAATATCTTGGAATATTTAAAGATATTACTTAATACTTTGAAATATATTCCATAATATCTCGAATAAAATAAAAGTATTAAATAATATTTTAGATATTTCCAAATATTTTAGAATATTATTAACTATTTCAAAATATCTTGGAATATATAAAGATATTACATTATATTTTGAAATATATTCTCTAATATCTCAGATAAAATGAAAATATTCCAGAATATTTTGGAGTACATTCAGAAATTTGCATAATATCTTGGAATACATCAAGATATTACATAATATTTTGGAATATATTAAGATATTACATTGGAATATATCAAAATATTACCGAATAACTTGGAATATATCATGATATTACATAATATTTTGGAATATATTCTATAATCAAAATCAAATTATTATATTTAGAAATATTTTAAAACAGATAAAAAATTTGGAATTCCAAAAAATAAAACCATTATATTAATTTTCCTGGAATATCGATAAAAATATTATAAAAAATTATTTTCTACTTTTTAGTTGAAAATAAAAAGAGTAATATATTAAATCAATGATAATTCTCATATCGAGTCGAGTGACATTAATAATTTACAGCAATTACGATGCTCAATAACAATCGTCATAATTAATTATAATTAGTAATAATCAATAAGTAGTTAATATTAAATTGTACTTGAAAATTCAGTTTATATCTCATTTTGATAATTTGAAATATAAACCTTCCACTTCTGTGACTGGAATTGTTTTAATTAGAATATTTAATTACTTCAAGAGACTCATTGCGAATGAAGAGAGATATATATATTGGCATAATCGAACATGAATGTTTAACAGCAAATATCAAACGTCATGTATGCTCTCAAATAAACCTCAAAATTCATATTTAATCGTTCACATTCTACAATTTAACCTAAAATACATGAAATTTCTTTTGTCATCTTTTTTTTATAAATTAAGTAAATCATTAAATTGTGAGTCAAATTAATTCAACATTCTTAACATAAATAAACTACTATACAATTGGTTAAATTTTTTTTTTTTTTTTTTTTTAATTGACAAACGAATTTCAATCGTCATTGCGATAATTATATATGCATTAATTATGCCTTAATTGCTTTCAACAATTTCGAGGCTAATGATTTCATGATGAGCAGTAAATATACATATCAAATGAAAGTATAATAGAATTCAAAATTAAACATTTCTTTCACTTCAAAAAAAAAATAAATAATAAATTTTCAGTTTTGAAATTTGTTAAGTAAAAATTACTTTTATATTGATCAATTTATAATTTGGAATATTTTAGGAGTATTTTACTAAAATTGGACGAATATTCCCAGAGATATTTTAGGAATATCTTCTTTGATATTCCGTTAAAATTTAACTATGATATTGTGAATATTCTTTAAATATTCCAATGGAAAATGAAAAGATATTTTACAAATATTCCAATGAAATATTCCCACGGAATATGAAACGATATTTTACAAATATTCCAATGAAATATTCCCACGGAATATGAAACGATATTTTACAAATATTCCAATGAAATATTCCTACAGAATATGAAACGATATTTTACAAATATTCCAATGGAATATGAAAAGATATTCTACGAACATTCCAAAGAAATATGAAAAGATATTCTACGAACATTCCAAAGATATTCTACGAACATTCCAAAGAAATATCAAAAGATATTCTACTAATATTCTGATGTAATCTCAAACAATGGAATATTTTAATAATATCAAAGGATATTAATAATATTAATAATATCAAAGGATATTAATAATTTTTAAAATCACAAACATTGAAAAAGAAAAAAAAATTTAGATTAAAATCTCTAAAATATATATTTGACAAATTAAAAAAATTTTTTTTTTTGCATAAAATATTTTAATTAAAAAAATTACAATCTCTTTTTTTTGTTTTTAATGTTACAGTGTGGGAATTCAGGTGATATTTCCGAGCGAGTAGCGGCCCTAATGCATCCATCGTCAACGCAGGACGAATGCTAGTCTTTAGATAAGATCCTTAGAGATCTGCGCGCCTTCCATGAAGATCGAAAGAGAGAAAGAGAACAAGAACGAGAGAGTGACATCAAATGGAACGAAAGAATTCAGAGAAATTTTGAGCTCGACGCATTTTTAGATTACAACTATTTCATAAGTAATCTTTTTCGTAAGCTTAAATTAAGAGTAACACTTAAACTTAATCCAATGATAAAACTTTCTTACTCACAATAAAATTAAGAGTGAGAGAAAGAGAATGAAAAATAATGTTGTGTAAATTACATTTAAAATAATAATAAGAAAATAAAAATGATGCGTGTGTTTTTCGTATTAATTGCCGTCTTTCACTTTTCGAAATAATATTTTCTATCTAAAGACGTGAAAAATTGCGGCAAAATATACTTGAAATATCACGAGATATTCTAGAATGCTTACGAATAGAGTAAAATATTCCAAAATATCTTGGAACATATAGATATTCCATAATATCTTGGAATATATAAAGATATTACCATAATATTTTGGAATATATTCTCTAATATCTCGGATAAAATCAAGATACTACATAATATCCTGAAATATATAAAGATATTACATAATATCCTGGAATGTATAAAGATATTACATAATATTTTGGAATATATTCTATAATATCACAGATAAAATCAAAATATTCCATAATATCTTGCAATATATCAAGATATTACATATTATCCTGGAATGTATAAAGATATTTTGGAATATATTCTATATCACAAATAAAATCAAAATATTCCATAATATCTTGGAATAGTTTAAAATATCTTAAACTATTTCATAATATCTTGGAATATAATAAAATATTCCAGAATATATCAAGATATTCCATAATATCTTCGAAAATTTCAAAATATTTCAGAATACCTTGGAATATATAAAGAAAATATTTCATAATATCTTGGAATAGATCAAAATATTCCAGAATATCTTAGAATGTATTAAGATATTGCAAAAGAACTTGGAATATATATAAATATTAAATAATATCTTAAAATATTTGCTTCTGGAATTCTTTTTTTTTGCAAAATATTTCATAATTTTAAAAAATTTTTCCAAATGTTCTGTAAAAATTTCAGGAATATAAGAATATTACAGGGTATACAAAAAAAACATACCAAGATATTCTCACATGATACTGAAATATTATTATAGGAATATTTTGGTATATGACCAAGCATTAAAATTTAATGCAAAATGTACGGTAAACTTATTTCAAATACCATATATATAGAATATTATAGAATACAACAAGATTTTCTTCAATATAATATATTAATGACTATTACAAGATATTACAAAATAATCTCTCTCTAAGGTGCCAGGATATTATAAATATAAATTCCAAAAATAGATGAAAAAACTATTTCAAAACATATAAACAACATTTTGCAAAGTATTTTGATTTTATCATAATATTTTGTAAAATTTGTTAAATGTTATAAAAAAAATATTTGAATTAAAAATTTTCAATGTATTTTAAAAATATTCCAAAACACTAACGACTACTTCTAAAATATAATAATACTAATAATAGTAATACTAATACTAATAATAATAATAATAATAATAATAATAATAATAATAAAAATAATGCTAACACAATAAGTGAATATAAAGTATGCCAAAAACATGTTTTTTTTTTGTTTTTAAAAAATAAGAATTAATTTTTTAAAAAAATTGTAAATATTGCCCCTAAAATAAATTGTTAATTTTTTTCAAATTTGTCTCTTCACTAAAATTACATTATTCCTTAAATATAGATAAACAATTTCTCTTACAAGAAAATAATGAAGAAAAAAAAAGCTACAAGTTCCGATTACACAATTGATAAGAAACAATGAGTTTGTTATCGCGTAACAATCAAAATAGCATGGAATAATTAATTCATGTTCCTGGAATATTTCATTGGAACATTAAGAAATAATCCTAAGGAATATTACATTTTTCCACTACTTGTAATGTTCCTTTGGAATATTGTAGGAATATTTCATTAAGACATAAGGAATATTTCTGAAGAAATATTACATTAAAACATTGGGAATATGCCAAAGGAATATTACATTCAAACACTGGGAATATTGCGAAGGAATATTTCATTGAAATATTGGGAATTTTACGAAGGAATTTTTCATCAAAACATTAAAAATATGATTAAGGAATATTTCAGGACAATTCCTATAGAATATTCCAACAATATTCTTGTTATTCCATGAACTTTTCTTTTGGAATATTATATATTTATTTACAATTTTACAAAATATTTTGCGTAAAGTATATATACTTGTAATATTACAAAAAAAATTATGGAATATTTAAAGAGTATCACTGCAATAGTATGTAAGAATTATCCTTATTCCTCAGGAATATTTCTAATAATCCAATGGAATATTCCTTACGTATATTTCAATTGTTTTATTATAATATTCCTTAGGAATATTTATAATATTCTATTAAAATGTTCCGAATTCTGTAATGGAATATTCCTAATATTCCAATGGAATATTTCTAATATTTCAATTGAATATTTCTAATATTCCAATGGAATATTCCCATTGTTGGACTGTAATATTCCTTAGCATTTCCAATATTCCAATGGCATATTCCTTAGGTATATTCGCAATGTTCTAATGCAATGTTTTAATGAAATATTCTCAATATTCCTTAGGTATATTTTCATTGTTTTATTGTAATATTCCTTAGAAATATTTCCTATATTCCAATGTCATATTCCTTAGGTATATTTCCAATATTCTAATGGAATATTTCAGAAATATTAATAGAATATTCCATGTTATTTATGAAGTACCGGCATCCCGTCCAAAATATACACTCTCATGGCGTACCATTTTTCAAAAAAACTAACTTTTTTTTTAAAAAAAAAAAGTATGCACAAATGTTTAATAAAAAAAAAAAAAAAAAAATCGTATACAACTGTAATGGAATGGGAATACTGTACCGGAGTGTGTCATCAAAGGGGGTAGGGTAGGAATTACATAAAACAAATAAAAAAAAAAAAAAAGAAAAGGTATTTTTTCCCCATAAGAACCATCGAAGCGAGAACCTTCGAGATTGTGAAGCCATTTGGTGAGTAAAGAAATGCGTATATTAAAGAATAAAACATTTTCAAGAGATAATTTTGTACCATTGCTCAAGTTGTGGAGAGAGAGAGAAGGGGGGGAGGGTGGGTTCTCTTCCTCTCAACGATGGCGATCTTTGCCCATAAGAATAGCATATAAAATTTCAAGATAGGCCGCGCAAATAAGTATCTTTAAGAGATAAACCCGACTAATGCTACACTCTTTCTTGAAAGAATAAGGAAAAGAAGAAGAAGAAGAAGAAGAAGAAGAAGAAGAAGAAGAAGAAGAACAAAAATAATGTAAAAGCGAAACGAGAATTCAGAATCTCTTTTAAAAGATATGGAAAGACCATTTTCTTCGAGAAAATTTATCATATAATTCATTATTGTGATTTTTCCATTGAAAGGAAAAAAAGAAAAAATTATAAATATTTAGACAAAAGAATAAAATTTCACTGAAATTTTTTGAAATATTTCTAAATATTCTAGGAATATTTCAATGTTCCACTTTATGGAATATTCAATTGGAATACTAAGGAAATATTTTAATGTTACATTTTATGGAATATTCAATTGGAATAATAAGAAGAAATGTTAATGTTCCATTTTATGGAATATTCAATTGGAATATTAAGAAGATATTTTAATGTACCATTTTATGGAATATTCAATTGGAATATTAAGAACATATTTTAATGTTCCACTTTATGGAATATTTAATTGGAATATTAAGAAGATATTTTAATGTTCCACTTTATGGAATATTCAATTGGAATATTAAGAAAATATTTTAATGTTCCACTTTATGGAATATTCAATTGGAATATTAAGAAAATATTTTAATGTTCCATTTTATGGAATATTAAGGAAATATTTCAATGTCCCATGTAAAATTATTCCTGAGGAATATTTTTTACTTATGGTACAATCACACAATTTCTAAGGAATATTTCTTTAAAAATTATATTCCCAAAATATTTCAATGCGATACTCCTACAATATTCCAAGAGAATATTTTTTTATACCTAGAAAACATTTTAATATTCTTGAAATATTCTTTTTTGGTGAAAATTTCTAATGTTGCAATTGGAATATTCATTAATTATAGATAAAAAATATTACAGAAATTTTTGCCGAAATATGATAGGAATATAAAATCAAAGCAAAAAAAAAAAAAAAAAAAAATAAAATAAAATTTCCTCACATGAAAATTAAATTTGTTATAAAGTTCTTTATATATGAGAACATCACGTTTCGCTTTTTTTTTGGAAAAAAGAAGAAAAAAAGACTTAAGAAGAAGAAGAAGAAGAAAAAGAAGAAAAATTCGCAAGTGTTGTACAAAGAATCTTGCCATTTTCAAGAGGTCGTTTTCCAGTTCCTTATTACTGGCAACTAATTCGAAGTTGCCTTTTTGACACAGATGCGGAAAAAAAGGAGGAGTTGAGAGGGGCAGAGGGGGGGGGTTAACATCAATTAGGCTCTGTTTTTCTATTCATATTCAAGATTGCTAAGAGTCTTGACAAATAAAGAGAGAGAGAGAGACTCTTTGAGATACTTTTTTCCTTTCTTGGTATAAATGTGGCTTGCCTCTTTGAAACGCGCATTTTTTTTCTCTCGTTCCTCAGAATCCAAAAAGAAAATTGGAAGCTTCTCTTTGCGTGGCATACTTTTCGTTAAATTACATTCCGGTCATTAATCGCTTGAACCGAAAGCTTGAACAAGCAAAAGGAGAAGAATAAGAACAGGAGAAAAGTAGAAAAAAATAAGAAAGAAACAGAAATGTTAAAAGTGCGAGAAAAGATCAAGAAGCACAAACAAAAAAAAAAAAAACTTTTTATGGAAAAATTTCATTTTTGTTCAAATTTTCTAATAGCAGGGAATATTTTACAGATATTCCCATAATATTTCCTATATATATATGGAATTGTAGAAACATTAATTTCAAAAATTTATTTTCTAATTGATTTAAAGATTAAATATAATTAACATTTTTTTTAGGAATATTGTAATGTTTGTATTCTTTCGTAAGGGAAATAAAATTCCATTAGAATATTCTAAACATTGCCAGAATATTCCAAAAGGTTTTCTTTATTCCAGTGAAATATTACCAGAATATTCCTAAAGGTTTTCTTTATTCCAATGAAATATTACCAGAATATTCCAAAAGGTTTTTTTTATTCCAATGCAATATCATCAGAATATTCCAAAAATTTTCTTTATTCCAATGTAATATTGTCAGAATATTCCAAAAATTTGTATTTATTCCAATGGAATATTCTGACAGTATTCCAATTAAATATTCCTAAAATATTCCAGAAAAACGTTCCAATGTTAGGTATTATTAATACTCTTCGAATATTCCAAATGTTTCAATGGAAAATTCCAGAAATGTAAATATAATATTCCGTAGTATTGTAGAATTAAATATTCCTAAAATATTTAAGGAATATTGTAGAAATATTTAATTCCAAAATAGCATGGAATATTCTATTTACATTCTTGGAATTTTTTATTGGAACATTAGGAATATTTGAAGAATATTAAAATACCTAATATTGGAACGTTTTTCTGGAATATTTAAGGTATATTCAATTGGAATACAGTTAGAATATTCCATTGGAATAAATACAAATTTTGGAATATTCTGACAATATTCCATTAGAATAAAGAAAACTTTTGGAATATTCTGGCAATATTCCATTGGAATAAAGAAAACTTTAGGAATATTCTGAAAATATTCCATTGGAATATTCTGAAAGTATTCCATTGGAATATTCTGAAAGTATTCCATTGGAATATTCTAGAAAAAATTCCATTGGAATATTCTGGAAAAAATTCCATTGGAATATTCTAGAAAAAATTCCATTAGAAAATTCTTCGAATATTTACATGGAATTTTATATAGGAATTCCAATGGAATTTCATTTTCCTTTTGGAAGATTTTCGAGATTTTAATTATTATTATTTGATATATATAAAAATAATTTTAGTACCTAGATTTAAATAAAATATTCAAAATAGAAAAAAAATTTCTTTCAAAATTGATAAAAAAAAATTTTCTTCAATTATTAATTGGAAAATTGAACAACTTGAGAGGGAAGTTTTTTTTTTTTTTGTTTGTTTAGTCTCCATTTTTCCATTGTTTTCAATCATCATTATTTGGGATAATTAAAAATTTTCCAAGATTTGAAAAAGAGAAGAGATGAATAATTTCTGCTTTTAAACGGAGGAAATTTTCTGCCATGTGCTTTTTGCATACAATGGATGAATCTTAATGAGGCTCTCTTCGCTCAAGAAATGCCTTTCACTCTTTCTCTCTTTTTTTTCGCTTTCTCTCTCTCCTTCTCTATTGCTGTCTCTCTGTTTAACATTTCGAATAGTTGGGTAAAAAAAAAAAAAATTTTTTTTTCTTGTCAATCAGCTACTCGAGGATTTTTGCTAGATATTTGCTCGACTAAAGAGTCCCTTGTCTGGACAAAGTATCCTCTTGTCTTATTCAAGGATGCTTCGTCGGACTAGGGAAAAGAAGTACTTCTATATATATAAAAATGGTGTCTCAAAATTCTTAACTTCTAAATTTGTAAAAAATTCATTATCTCTTAAAATTTAATTCAATCGTCCAAAAATATTTTTCCTCTTTTTTTAAATTATAACAAATTTTTTTTAAAATAAAATGTAAAGTACTTTTATTTTAAAAATTAATTTTAAAAATTCATTTAAAATCTCAAATTCTTGAAAGAATTAAATATAACTCAAAACTGAACAAGAAAACTATTTTTCACTTTGAAAAATCTATGAAAATTAATTTCCGGTTTGTTGAGAGATAAAGAGGGGAAGTTAACGAAAAATTTATAGAGAAGATAAAACAAAAAAAAAAAAAAATTCTTCAAAGAAAATTGATGCAAAAAGAATTTTCTTTTACAATTTTCAATTACACTTTTGTGCTTAAAAATTCTTAAAAATTATATACAAAAAAAAAAAAAAAATCCCCACCTGGTTTCTCTTGTGGAAAATTTCGTTACAATGTGCCAATGATTTACAAAATTATTGACAAACTAACGAGGAGGTGCTTCTGGTGAAAATTGCTCGAAATACGAGTCACAAAAGAATAGTGTCCCTTGTTGTATATATGTATAAGTACACCCTGTATAAGGGGTAAAGTGAGGGAGAAAGAGAGAGTAGACAAAAGATGGATGGAAAAAGGAAAAACTTGAGATTCACTCTTTTCAGGATCACCCATTGTCTCCTCAAGAGGAAGCATAGTAGTCGAGCTTTCACACTGACCTGCCATTCTGACATCGACTCACTCAGTCTCAGTGTTACCTGACACAACTTTGCTTTGATTAAACAAAAAGACTTCAGGATTATACTCAACGAACGTATATATATATATATATATATATGAACCAACTGATCAAGTTGTATACTTATTTTATTTCAATCTTCATCTATTCTCTTATTTTCCTTTTTTTCTACTTTCTATTCTTCTTTTCTTTTATTTTGTTTTGTCCTCTTTTATTTTTATTTATATTATTTATATTCCTGAAATATTCCATTGGAATATTAAGGAATAACCCTAAGGAATATTAAATTTTTCCACTACTGGAATGGAATATTGTATAGGAATATTTCATTAAGACATAAGGAATATTCTTAAATAAATATTACATTAAAACATTGGGAATATGTCAAAGAAATATTACATTCAAATATTTTGGGAATATACGTAAGGAATATTTTATTGGAACATTGGAAATATTCCAAAGGAATATTACACTCAAATATTTTGGGAATATACATAAGGAATATTTCATTGAAACATTGGAAATATGCCAAAGGAATATTACATTCAAATCTTGGAAATATACGTAAGGAATATTACATTGGAACAATGGGAATTTTACGAAGGAATATTTCATTAAAACATTAGAAATATTACTAAGGAATATTTAAGGAAAATTTCTATGGAATATTCCAACAATATTCTTGTAATTTCATGAATTTTCTTTTGGAATATTATAAATATATTTATTTACAATTTTAAATAATATTTCACATAAAATATACTTGTAATATTCAAAAAAAATCATAGAATATTTAAAAAGAGTATCGCTACAATAGTTTAGAGGAATTATCCTTAAATATTCCTCAGGAATATTTTTAATATTTAAATGCAATATTCCCCAGTAATATTTTCAATATTTCAATGGAATATTCCTTAGGTATATTTCTATTATGTTATCGTAATATTCCTTAGAAATATTTCCAATATTCCAATTGCATATTCCTTTGTTATATTCCCAATGTTCTAATGGAATGTTTAATTGTAACTTTTTGGAAATATTCAATTGAAATACTCTGGGATTATTTAAATAAAAAATATTTGTGGAATATTTCATTGAGAAAATATTTAATTAAAATATTTTAGGAATTTAAGGAATACATTGTTGAAATATTCCATTGAAATACTGTGGGAGTATTTAATTTAAATAATTTAGGAATATTCTACAAGGAATATTGAGGAAATATATAAAAGGGGTGAGAATATTCCTTTGGAATCAGACTATGGAATATTTCACATTAATATTGGGAACACTACTAAGGAATTTTTTATTAATTCCTATGGAGTATTCCAACAATATTTTTGGTATTCCGTAATTTTTCTTTTCGAATATTATAAATATATTGAATTATAATATTCCAAAATATTTTAATACTATTCCAAAGGAAAAAGCATGGAATATTTAAAAAGAGTATCGCTGCAATAGTATACAGGAATTATCCTTAACTTCGGAAATATTTCTAATATTCCAATGGAATATTTCTTAGGTATATTTTTATTGTTTTATTGTATTAATAGGAATATTTTCAATATTCCAATTGGATATTCCTTACGTATATTTTCAATGTTGTAATGGAATATTTATAATATTTCATTGGAATGTTTCATAGGTATATTCCTAATATTCCAATGGAATGTTTTTAGATATATTCCTAATATTCCAATGGAATGTTTTTTTAGATATATTCCTAATATTCCAATGGAATGTTTTTTATATATATTCCTAATATTCTAATGAAATATTCGTTAGGTATATTACAATTATTGTATTGTAATATTCGTTAGGATTATCTCCAATATTCCAAAGAAATATTACAATATTCCAAAAATATTCCAATGGGAATATACTTAATATATT